GAGCATGTTCGGCATTCAGTAATTTGTTATGAGATTCTGGCATGTAGTAGTTTGGAAATCAGAATTCTGACCTATCACCAGATTGGCTGGAATTTGGCCGAATTCCTGTAGCAGAAATTTCCTATATGACTACTATAGTTTTATGTTTTCAACCACCAAGATTTATTTATTTAAACATTAAATATACATTAATTAGTAGTGCATTGAAAACAGATTTGCATAATTGAAGCCAAAATGGCAGAGTGTAAAAAAAAAAAAATTGCATATAGTCACAGTTTTCTATACATTTTGGAATTCATTTTTTAAATTTACTTCAATGAGGAGTTTAATGAATAAATCCCCTAGAAGTGAAAGAGCTCACAGAAAATTGGAAGAATGCAGAGATATGGAATGGAGTTCTGAAAAATTAGGGTAAAGCAAAGAAGGTAAGTGAGATTTATGGATTTTTGAATAGAGTTTTTTTGTATTACTTTCCAATACATGTCCCTTAGCACATGAGTAAACTAATAATTTTCTAGTTATCACATAATTTTCTATTAAATACAGTTTAAACAAAATAAGTAAATACGTTCCACACAGTCACAAAGTTCAGCTAATATCAATGCCATAGTTTCCATTGTTCTAAGTGACTCTTGTTTTAATAACATCTTTAACCCCTTAAGGACTGGACTGTTTTTGCGATGTTGTACATTTGCGACCAGGCATATTTTTACACTTTTGTGGTGTTTGTGTTTGGCTGGAATTTTCCGCTCTCTCATTTACTGTTCCCATACAAATTATATATTGTTTTTTTCAGGGCAAAAGGGGCTTTCTTTACATACCATTATTTATATAATCTCATGTATTTTAATTTAAAAAAAAATAAAAAAATATGATTGAAAAAAATACATGTTTTTTGACTTTTACTTGAAAAATCTTTTACTCATCTACAAAAGCAAATGAAAAAAACTGCTAAATAGATTCAAAATTTTGTCCTGAGTTTAAAAATACCCCGTGTTTACGGGCTTTTTTGCTTTTTTTTGCATGTTATAGGGCTATAGGTACAAGTAGGATATTGCGGTTTCAAAACATACATTTTTTAAATTTATCAATAGTGACATTGTAACACTATTATCTGTCATAAATCTCTGAATAACACCCCACATGTACATATTTTTTTAAAGTAGACAACCCAGGGTATTCAATATGGGGTATGTCCAGTCTTTTTTAGTAGCCACTTAGTCGAAAACACTGGCCAAAGTAAGCATTCATATTTGTTTGTGTGTGAAAAAAGTAAAAAAACTAAATTGAACGCTAATTTTGGCCAGTGTTTGTGACCAAGTGGTTACTAAAAAAGACTGGACATACCCCATTTGCAATACCTTGGGTTGTCTTCTTTTGCAAATGGTATGCCGTCATGGGGGTAATTCTCATTCCTGGGCTACCATACGCTCTCAAAGGCAACGTAACCAACCTGGCCATTTTCAATGTAAAAATATTTGATCCATATATTTGACCTTGTAACTTTCAAA